TCGAGGGGTCTGAACCAAAGACCGGACAGAACGGAACGGCTGCGGCGGCATCTACCTCCGCCGGAGGCACAATCGCCAACGGCAACGGAAAGACATCAGGTGCTGGTGCAAAGCTATAAGGGGAGAACTTTTCAAAGGTTCCGGTGGGGGCGGAGGATAATGTACATATGATGGCATCAGATACTGATTTATTATCACAATGCCTGTTGATACCCCGAATTTTGAGCTAAATCAAGATGTGTGGAAACAAAGTCCGCTGGAAACCCTTGAAATCGCAGACTCCCGGTAGAACCCGGAATGAGCTTGGCAAGCCGTGTCCTGTGAGCTTGACGTTTCTACGTGCCGTTTATTCACCGGCTTGAGTGCCAATGACATGCTTGAACCCCACACTCGTCGTCTATGGGGAAAGCTCTTGTCTTTGGCTTCAGAGACGTGGTTGTCCTTTCTTGTTAAGTGATGAAACTTTCTTGGCTTTCGACTTCTTGTCCCCCCCTTCTCCAACCACTGAATCAATGTGCCTCGGCATCGTCCAGATAGAAGAGATCATAGTACAGGTTCAAACCCGTGAAGCCCCGGTGATATTAAGGGCTGTCCCGGGATATAGGTTAGTCACGTTAGTATATCGGCCGTATGGAAGGGGCGGGAAGCTGTAAAGGGGGGATGGTATGAGCAGGGGTAAGGGGGAATATTGCGGGTTGGAAAGGGGAGTCGGGGAGCTACGGCCAACTTGCCATTTGGTCCTGCAAGGAACATAATACAAACGCGGCAATGACAGGATGTCTAGTGTAGTGTGCCGGACTAGCCATTGGTGATCTTACGTGGAGTTGAGTGATCTCGGGGAGATAATGCGGGGAAGTAGGTAAAGACGTAGCAGCCCATACCGGGCCCAGCACTCACCCCGTACTCTGGTTCTGCTGTGTGCTTCAATACCTACGTCGAACACTGGGGTATTAGTGTGCCCTTGGTTGGGACGTTTCATTCTTTGTCTGCGTGTGTGATGTGGTTGCAACAACCTTGGATTTCATATACTAGTCCCATAAACGTGTAGGTTTACTCGCGAATATTATCGAGGAACTGGAGAATCCCGTTTTGGTCATCATCATTAGGTTGTTTGTACTTACATGCAATTCTCTCTCACCTATCCCATGATGCTGCCTGCATGGGTAGGTGAGAGTGATACGGCGGGGAAGGGTTGCATGAGTTGGGCTAAATACGTCGTGAGACGAAGGACGGGCGTAAACGCGCTGAGGCTGCAGGGACACTCGTCAATCTGAAGCAAGACGGAGAATATATCCGGCAGTGGAGTTAAAGAGTGGTAGTAGCAGTCTACCTACAAAGCTACATGCCAAGATGAGAGGCCGTATGATGTGGTCTTCTTCAGCTCCACTAGCACAAGTGATCGACCCAGACAGGATCTCGCATTGAGAGGAAATCGCACGATACGATACGGTACGCATACGATACAGCTTTACAAGTCATGGGAATGTATGCTCTGATATCAGGAAAACTCTAGTTATGTTGGGAACAGATCCAGGTATTCAATGCAAGCCGGCAACCTCTGGAAGCAACAGTTCGTGGAGGAAGAGGAAGTAAAGGAGGAATATCGAATGGAAGAAACTGCATTACCCAACAAAGATGCCAAACTGGTAAACAGCGCGGGGATACAGATACTGTTCAATTGTCGTTCCTCCGGACGATCGTGGATCGCAGTCATCCCAAGTTCCCAAGACAAACGCAGTAACGGCCTGGAAAGTTTGCGGCGTCTAGAATCCCAATATTGGACAGAATCATTTGTCACCTGTTGTGCAGCACTTACAGATATTGGCACACTTTGACACTCACACACACTCTACTTACAGACAGACACACGACACACACACGCACATACACGCCAAAGAAGTACATCGGCGGCACACTAGGTAAAACCGTACAGCTAGTATCCCAGTCACCTTGGTGCCATTCTTTGCTCGGGTTCCGCGCGCGGGAACCCTCGAGCAGTTCGTCTACCTACTTACACAGTAGACTAATGAACTTTCTTGTCGCAAAGTCAGTGCCTTCCACTCTGGGGGAGTGCCGTGCGCCACGCCAACTCTCGAGTCCACCACTTAAGCATATCGCCATGGCAATTCTGGATCTTTAATAATCGTAATGGTGGTGGTGGAGGTGGTGGTGCCGTGTGCGCCGGTACCCTTGTCATCGCCAGGGAGATGCTGCCCGGCAATCGGAAGAGCCCGGCGAGAGGTGAGCTCATCTATGTAGGTATGCCTTTTCTGTCTGTTGCCCTTTCCCCCATTTAGAGTGATCAAGCAGAAGCTGGACGATTCAAAGGAGGTCACTCTATTGAGAAAGCTGAAAGACGCTGACGCTGCATGATGGAGACTAGACGCACAGAGAGCAGCGCGGCCATGCAGTCGAGGTCGTGATCATATGCTTTTTCTCGGCACCTCCAGGATTTCTGGGCGCTGCAAAAGAAGAAATCCACTTTGGAGAATCGAGACACACAGCAAAGCGTGGTCCTTGCCTAAAAAGGCAATACATGCGCGGACCAGACCGTTTCGGAGCATACCCCCGATCCATACCCTCACCGCGACCCGACGACGATTCCTTCAGGCACTATCCGTACTTACTTTTGTATGTAGTCTCTATCCAGTCGTGTCTTGGCTTACTTGGGGTTCTGCGAATAAGCAGGAGTTCATCACCAACGACTGATCACCGTACCGCTGCCCGCACCGCACCGTTCCTGTTCCTTACCCGCATCTGCGCGCGCGCCCAGCCTGTATCCCGCCCCTTCCGCAGTCCTCCGTACGCTACTCCGTACATACCCAGTATATCTAAGGTAGGTAGTACCTTAGTATATGGGGTACCACGGTACCTAGTATTAGTATACAATTTTTACGGGCCTGCGCTTGGCCCCTGCAGGCCCTCAGGTTCCCTTGCCTTGCCTTGCCGTGAGCCTGGCGGGGTGTCTTCTGCAACCACAATCCCGCAACCCGCACCCTTAGCAGTCCATCCCCCGTCCATCACGGCCAATTCCATCTCTTTTACCCCAGATCTAGTGTAGCGGGTTACGCCCAGCCTCACCCTCGCACTCACCCACGTCATCCTCACCCTCGTCTTTCACCACCAATGGCCATGGGTCATACCTATCCGGTCCGAGGAGGGCTAAAAGAATCATATTCGAAATGGATGGCCGAGGAGGAGCGGAAGGAGTGGATTCACCTCCTCAGTCTCGACTCTCCTTCGTTCCCAACATGGATTGGCGCATGACTGTTCAACCAGTGGCGTGGGTTGGATTCTGAATTACTGCCACCTACGGCAACAAACACTGCTTCATGTCCGGCTGCTTCACTTTCCAACCCCCTACGTACCCTAGACATTTTACATATGGACTTTGGGCGGGCCATGGCACACGATCATCCGTCTTCGCCGGAAGCCGGGACCAGGAAAGACGTTGGCGGGGGAGGGGCAGCGATCCTGCCAGCACTGAATAGCACCGTTTGAAAAGTCTTACATGCTTGCCCCGTAAACGTTTGTGGCTTTTCCTCTCGCTCCATTCCACCGGCCTTGGGTACACACTCCGTCGAGGCTGCCACACTTACCCACGAGACCATAATCTCGGCGTCAACAGCCAAGGGGACCATCAAGCTGAACCATTGGCGGCGGCAGAGGCGAAACCTGGCACTCGACACTGCACACTGGTCACTGGTCACGCAGAAACCACATGCTAAAGCAAGGACGGAGACGGTGTGATTCTGTTTATGCGTTGTACCTGGGAACTTGGTGTTGGTGGCAGCTCGAGGAGCCGGATCCTTTCTTCCAGACTCCAGTCATCATCTCCGATGTCTATAATAGACGATGGCTCGCTCCCGTTCACGCGTATTTTGTCTAGGACTAAAACACCCAAGCCCCAAAAGCAAGCATAGCCGCAGGTCACCAAAGAAAGAAACGCAAGATAACGCCTGTTTTGGTCCCGCTGCGGTCTTCAAAGTGGGAACACGCCGAGCCATGACTGGATCCGATATTTGAGAAAAACGAAGCTGGGACCAGACGACTAGCCGGACCTCCCTCCGTGATACCTACCTAGCCTTACGACTCTTGCCTTGTGACACGGACACAAGGCAGATCGTCCTGGGACAAGGGCAGACGAGTTTTACCTTACTTACACGGGAGCCGATTGCGAGATATCGAGAAAGTAGCGAGTCAACGTGGAGAGAAGAGGGCAGCGCATCGCCACATACCACGACAGTGGGTCGCCTACAACGTTGAACCTGGGAGCTAGACGACAGCAAGCGATAGAAACGCCAAGGGCTCTATGCTGTGAAGCTAAAGCTGATTGCCTTTTCTGTCTTTGCTGGTGAACAGACCAGTAATGTGAAGAGGGGGCTTTGCTCAACAAGGAACCCGAGCAGCGGCAAACCGGCAGATGCAGCGGGAATCTGGGCGCGGCACAACTTGGTTGAATTCTGATTTCCCGATCTCTGATATCCCGTCATCGGCCGAGCTTCAAACCTACAGGCGACAACTCTGTCCGATCTTCAGACCAAGAAATCTACCTTAGTAGCGCCCACCAAAAAAAAAAAAAAAAAAAGGACAACAGGGTATCTGAGTAGGAAAACCGGGTTCTAGACCAAAGTACATGACAGCAGCTCCAGCTCTGTAGGGATATTGTTTGTTGTAGTTTACTTGAAAGGTACGCGACCCTTTCAGAGTCGCCCTTCGCGGTGGTTGTACTCATTGTTGAACTTCATCACCATCTGTCTTCTGTTTTTTTATCTTTTTTTTTCTCTTCTTCTTCATGTCTCTTTCTCTTTACAAATCAACTTAGAATCTAGGCAGGCCGGATGAGATCCTTCCTACGCAAAGAGAACAGCACGATCAAGTACTGACCGTTGTACACGGCAGCCTATTAGCCGAGTTACACGACAGCAAGACACGCCGGACAAAGCATAACCATCCTCACAAGGGTCAGGAGGTCACCTATCTCCTGAGACCAAATTTGGATGGCTGTGCTCCAGTGGCCAAGTGTGCCGAATCTTGAAGAGGACGGCGACATTGAGTTCCCCGGAGTTGTGTTATTGAAGCAGCAGCAACAGGAAACCCATCAACACTATCAGCGAAGCGAACAACTATCGCAGCAAAACTACTTTGGACTTGCAGAAGAGACCAAACAAGACACTGGCTTTCCAGAATTGGGCAAAGAAACCGACAGTGAGGCTCGAAAGCACAGCCTCGACCATCACGTCAGCCGCGACCTGGACTTGAACTTGACCTTCAGCCTTGACCTCGGCATCGACGGTGACATTGACCTTCCAGCGGCTCAGGTTGACGCGGCCGAATCTGGGATTCTGACAGAGAACAATTACAGCGCGATTGTCGGTCTGCGGCAACAAAGCGAGTCCAATCCCACGTCAGTGCTCTTCCCATTCCATCAGCCGCAGCAGAGCCAACAAGGAGAAGAAGAAGAAGAAGAAGAAGAAGAAGAAGAAGAAGAAGAAGAAGAAGAAGAAGAAGAAGAAGAAGAACGGACGGAGCAACATCAGTTGTTGTTTGATACGGGTACATCAACGGATATAAGTTGCAGTGCAGGGGGAGAAGGAGAAGAAGGAAGAGAGGCAAGAGTTGTAGAGGTCCCCACGTTTGCATTGCACCTTCCCGGGCCTCAACCTGTGTTAGGTTCCGGATCTACTACTGACCCATCTTTTTCTCTTTCGGCATCATCCACAATACTGGCAACAACATCACCTGTTAGAGGAGCAACAGGAGCAACATCATCAGGAGTCGCAGGACATTCGGCAGAAGTGCATTTTCCGAATTCCATCTCATCAATCTCCAGCCCCAACAGCTCCGGCACTAGCAGCTCCACCGCCCCCAGTTCCACGTCCCACAGGCCCATCCTCTTCCCATCAGCATCAGCACCGGCGCCAGCACCAGCACCCGCATCAGCATCAGGGGAAACACCATTTGCCCACTCCCACTCCCACCACTCCTTGTTCTCGCTGACCTCACCCCCCCTCCACCCGCATCCGCATCCGCACCCGCACACGCACCCGCACCCACGCCACCTGAACAATCCTCGCACACATCAGAAGCACCAGAAGAAGTACCAGAAGCCTTACCAGCGTCAGCAGCAGCAGCAGGGCCACCACCTCCAACACCGACACCACTCCCACTCCCCGTACCCAGCCGGCCAGGCCAGCCACCACCACCACCATAATCAACAGGCTCCGCTGCCTCCGTCCATCCCAGTCCCAGTCTCAGTACCAGCACCACCAACACCAGCACCACCAGCACCAACACATCCAGAGCCTGCGCCAGAGCCAGACGTTTTTGCGCCTGGGCCACCAGAGCCAGTGACTCGGCCGCTGCCACACCTGTTCCCTCCCACTGGCCCTCCTCCCATTACTAGTCGACCCGAGAAATTCGTCGACGAACCTCTTCACCACTACCCTCACGACTCTGTCGCAGCTCACTCTTCACGGTCGCCCATGGATGTCGATATGTCGTCGACCGACCTTCCGGCTCAGCAGCAGCAACAGCAGCAGCAGCTTAACCAGCAACAATCACCGCAAAAATCAGAATCGCCATCACAGGCCCCAGGAACCTCTACCAATCCAGCTGGTACGAGTCCCAACGCTCAAGGTAGCTCTGCTGCTGCTGCCGCCGCGGCCGCGGCCGCCGCGAACCACTTGAGTTTTCGCAGGTTCGTCCCTCACCACCGACCCAAGTCCCGTCGAATTCTTTCAATAGCCATCTTCCAATCAATGGCGGATGTAACCTGTGTGCTAATATATTTTTTGATTCGAATAGGCAACGAGCTTCTAGAGCTTGCGAGGTACGTAGTCTCACACCTTTATGTTTTGTCGCGCCCGCCATTCCGTGGCCCCTCTGCCCACTTTGTGCCGAGGCATCGCTACTCGCGCCGCGGCGCTGCGTTGCGCTCTACTGGTGCAATGCTGCCCTGCGAGATCTCACGCCCACCTCTTGTCGATTTTCCTTTATCCGAATTAAAGCTAACCTTGTATTATACAGACATGTCACGCCCGCAAGGTACGAACAGTCTTATTTTCTAATTAGGCGCTCTCTCTCTCTCTCGTGGGCGATTGAGCTTCCGAGTCGGCCGATTCCTACCCACAGCCGATTTCCACCTGCCCCCTCCTCCGATCGACACTCTCCGCCAAACCTCTTTGGCTAATATTTTGTCTAGGTACGATGCGATGCCGCGAGCCTCGGCGTTCCTTGCACGAACTGCGTAGCTTTCCAAATAGAATGTCGCATTCCAACCCCGAAGCGCAAGAAGACTACGAATGCCGGAACGAACAAGGACTCGGACAGGTCTGCCTCAGCTTCGCCGTTTCCACATGCTCCCAGTCATGGGCTAACTGAGGTGTGCTCCAGCGAGAAAGGAGATAACGCTGAAGAGCGTTCACCGAGAGCTCCTAGTGTACCTGCGCCTGGGCCTGGGACCTTCCCGCCGAGGACTCCTGCTGTCTATCACACCACAGATGGCACGCCGTCGTCCACCTACACCGAGTCGCAAGCCCGAAAGGAGGAAGTCGATAGTGGCACTTATCTCAACCTGGTGATGAAACCAAAGTTCACGAGAGCCCCTATAACAGATGCTGGCAGGGTCGCATATCTTGGAGAGTCGTCCAACCTGACGTTGCTTGTCCATGATCGACAAGGCTCGTCAGACGTAGTCCACTATCCTCTACCCGAAAATGTGAGGGGTTCCAGGGCCCGACTGACCGAGCTGGACAATGTTGAAATCGATATCCTGCACCAGCGCGGTGCCTTCCTTCTACCGCCGAGATCTCTATGCGACGAGCTCATCGACTCCTACTTCAAATGGATCCATCCGATCGTTCCGGTCATCAACCGTACCCGCTTCATGCGACAGTACCGTGATCCCAAGAACCCGCCGTCTCTTTTGTTACTGCAGGCTGTGCTGCTGGCCGGCTCGAGAGTCTGTACGAACCCACAGCTGATGGATGCCAATGGTTCGACAACGCCCGCTGCCCTGACCTTCTACAAAAGGGCAAAGGCGCTCTATGATGCCAATTATGAGGACGACCGGGTAACCATTGTACAGTCATTACTGTTGATGGGGTGGTACTGGGAAGGACCTGAGGATGTCACCAAGAACGTGTTTTATTGGAGTAGAGTCGCCACCATTGTCGCTCAGGGTTCCGGAATGCATCGAAGTGTTGAGCAGTCACAGCTCAGCCGCTCCGACAAGAGGTTGTGGAAACGAATCTGGTGGACTTTGTTCACCCGAGACAGGTCTGTTGCCGTTGCTCTCGGCCGACCAGTCCACATCAACCTCGACGATTCCGACGTCGAAATGCTTACGGAGGATGATTTCATCGAGGATGATGGCGATCGTAACAGCGAGTACCCCCCGGATCCCATACACGTTCAGTTCTTCATGCAGTACGTCAAGCTTTGCGAAATCATGGGCCTAGTGCTGTCCCAGCAGTACTCGGTAGCCTCCAAAGGACGACAGAGAAATGCTATCGACTTGACCCATAGCGATATGGCCCTCGCCGATTGGCTCCAAAACTGCCCAAAGATCGTGTACTGGGAGGTTGCTCGGCACCACTTTTGGTCAGCTTTGCTGCACTCGAATTACTACACGACACTGTGTCTCTTACACAGAGCTCACATGCCGCCAAATGGAGGCAGTCGGTTCCCTGACGATTCTCCATATCCTTCACGAAACATTGCGTTCCAAGCCGCGGCTATGATCACCTCTATTATTGAGAACTTGGCAGCTCATGGCGAACTTCGATTCTGTCCGGCGTTTGTTGTGTATAGTTTGTTCTCGGCCCTGATCATGCATGTCTACCAAATGCGGTCGCCGGTCCCATCGATTCAGCAGGTAACCCAGGACAGGTTGCGAACATGCATGCAAGCCCTCAAGGAGGTGTCGCGAGTTTGGCTGGTAGGGAAGATGGTGTATACTTTATTTGAGTCCATCATAGGAAACAAAGTACTCGAGGAACGGCTGCAGAAGGCTGCGGGCAAGAGGCACAGGAAAGCGCAACAGGCGTTGGCACAGCTAGAACAGCAACAGCGGCCGCAGGACGTTGCCAAGAGGAAGTACGACGACATGGCGATCGACTTCAGCGTCAATACTCCAACACCCCAAGAGTCTTACGAAAGATCGCGCCCGCAGACACCTAGCCATATGAAGGGCGACGGAGGTCCAAATCAGCAGACGATGCCGCCTCCGATCACATCACCCAATGCGAGGCAGAACGCAGACACGTTCATGGGCGGAACCTCCTCTAGGCCGCAAACCAGACCAGCGACACCCTTCAACCCTTCATTCTCGGTGCCGGCCACACCGCCGGACCTCTACCTTGTTACACGTAACTCGCCCAATATTTCTCAGTCCTTGTGGGAAAACTTCCAGCCCGACCAGCTTTTCCCAGACAGCGCAAGTATGCCAGCATTCCCGCACATGTCACCGCCACCGAACCACCACGGCCTAGATACGGGCCTCATGGCGCAGCTACAGAATCAAAACACGTCTCATGGTCTACCGGCACAAAACACTCAGTTCCAAGCACGGGGCCCTACCAAACAAGGATTGAGTGGAAGCCCTCAACAAGGCACGAACGTCCTGGGGTCTGGCATGCAGGGTTTCCAGCAGCAGCAACCGCAGCAGCAACAACAGGCACATGGGCAAGCGCAGGGCTCCAACAACAATAACAGCCTCAACAGCAACCTCTGGACAGCTAATTTCGACGGCTTGATGCCGGATGGGCAAAGCCCAAGCGACAGCTGGAGTACAGGATCAGCTCAAGGGCAACCTGTTCCAAACACGCTCAATGTTGAAGATTGGTAAGTGAACGCCATGGCAAATTTTGAGAACGCCGCAGAGAGCTAACATCATCGTGCTTAGGTTCCAATTCTTTGGCATTAACAACGGTGACCTGGCGAGCATGAATCTCGATTTGGGGTTGGGACCCCAGTAGGGTGAAGTAGTGGGATGATTTTGCGCTTATTCCATCGGCCGTCTCCAAAGTATTTGCAACAAAAGTTGACTTGCGACGCGCACATTGCGGGAAGGCGTATTGGGGATGTATCGTCAAACGATACCATCTCGTCACGGGAGTTTCGTATTCACTTAGTAGCATGTGAGGGAAAAAGTCAGGACATTCCTGGGCGAGTGACCTGAGCAATCAATGCATACCGATTCTTCAATACAAGCCAATGGTTCAGAGTTGAAGAAAGATACAAACAGTATGCTGCGATCAGAGGACGTAATATGTTTGCGTGTGTTTCTTAATACGTGAATAAAAGAACGTGAGCCTTCAATCAATATGGCTAGCCACTTGAGAAGCTTCAATCCAAGGCTCTGTTTCTCCGGTATGCTCAGCTTCTTTATCCTGAAGGTGAGAATAGTACCTTTTGAATTTTGAATTATTACAAGTTAGACCATATGAATTTGAAATATATCTCTTCGCATACTCACCCTTTCGTGTTAAAGTATACAGGTATCACTTTGAGTCAACACTACATAGTTAGATCCTTTCATCATGGAGAGCCATCGAAGAGGAGACCAAAAGTTGACACTGAAAATCAGGGACGTTAAACATTGCGGTATTGGAAAAGCTGGCCGCGGGTTGAATGATATTGTATAGCCAAAGACTGGGTGGTTCTAGAAGCTGATAAGAAAAATTGTGTCTTTTTTCCCTTTTCTTACCTCCGCCTCGCTTCGGAAAGAACCCTCTCGTCAACAAAACCCCTTGATTGCCTGCCCGTCAAACCCTGGGTTGACAACCCAATCTTCTACTGCTCCCAAAGTCTAATGGTTGAAAATAAAAAGTTGTAAACAAAGATAAAGGGGTTGGGGGGTTAAACAAGCGGTGAACCTAAAGGTTGGGAGCCACCCTGATCGGCACACTCACTTTACACCATGCCCCTCCCCTTCTGTTTGCCTGCCCTTCCCTCAATGCCCGCTAACGCCTGTAAAATGCGCAATCACTTCAATACGAAACTCGACACCTTTACATATCGCCCCTGCACCCCGTGGATGTCGTTTTCATGAATTTTGATCACGAGGTGTGTTCCCATCGAGTCTTTGTTCGAAGAGCACCCGTCTGTAGCTCCTAGTTCCAAACTCTTGCCATTGCAACAGAATAGGCAGAACTCGTTATGAGCAAGCTCAGTCCGACTTTTTGCCCTTTGCTGCTGCTCCTGTGTTGCTCAAGCCTCGTCTCAAGACGGGACCCTCTCCATCGCTCCTCCCGCTCGAGCCAATCGTCATGGGAGCAGCGTCAAGCAAACCTGTGCTGGTCACTCCGCCGCTGCTTGCTGGCATGGGCAACCTTCCATCGTCGCTGTTTGTATCAGTCAACTCGATGAGGTCCAGATCATCTGGCTGGCGGCTTCGTGACCCCAGGGTAGGCGTGCCCGGAGACTTTGCGAACGCGCCTCGGAGCCATGTCTCCACTGATGCTGCTGCGCGGTCTAAGCCAGAGCCTTGTCGAGACGTCGCTGATAGATCCTGTCCCTCATCAAAAGGACTTTCCACGATGCCGCTGCTGGAACCTGGCCGGAATCCAAAGTTTGCAGTCTCGGACCCCATGACAGAAATCGAAGGCAGAGACTCGTCGATGGCGATACCAGGGAGGTGCTTCTTCGCCCAAGAGTTCAAATAATCTTTCTCCGGACCAGGCGCTCGTACACTTCGCCCCAACGAGCCTACGCCTCCGGGCCTCCTCATCCATGCGGGCCGGGTATCGCCCGCATCACTGCCCATCCTGCTTCTCGATGATGCCGGAGTCGATCGCCCTGGGGTGCCGGGTAGGTTTGGCCGACTGCTCAGGTTACTCTGGCGTCGCGACGATGGCCTACCGACTTGCTCAGGACTTTCTGTGAGTCCAGCTGTTATCGCCGCTGCATCGAGAGAGTGTCTTGGCGTCGATATGCTTGAGGTGCTTCGGAGGCTCTTCTTCCGTCGCGGAGGAAAGTACCCAATCGTTTTGCTCGACACACGGGCGATCTCAACTGGTTTTGGGACAGAATCAAGTGTAACCCATCGAACGTGAGACCAAGGAGGCTCTTCCTGGTCTTCGTTGTTGGAGAGTCGAGACGCTGAGCCGTTTTGAGTAGGCAGACTGAAAAAGTCGACTTGTTGTGGTTGTGCCGAAGTCTGCTTACCCCATCCATGAGCGCTTCGAGGTTCTGGTGTTGGGGCAAGCAGGTCGACATTTTGCCCCTCATGGGAAGGCGGCTCGCAAGGGCGGCCCTTGACTTCGCATGCATCTACTGGTATGGCAAGCCACTTGCGCACCAGTATATCTCTAGACCACAGGCCGTTTGCCTTTCTGAATGCGTCTTCGCGGCACCTGTACTTGAGCACTATGCCGGCATAGGTGTCAGTTGGTTGCACATGGTGTATATACACCAGTTGATCTTGGACCTCTTCTTCCTGTGGTGCGTCCCTGGCGATTTCGTCCGAATTTCTCTTCTTATACTTGCCCGACACATCTAGGCCTCCGTTAACTCCGTCGTGGCTTTCCAAAACGCTTGCTGTCCGGGCTGCCTTGAGGGCAGCATCTCGTTCTGCTAGGGAACCTGCCGCAATGTCTCTCTGCGCAGGCCTGCTATTGGGAGGCGGCGCTGGACCCCAGTCCTTGGGAGCCTTTCGTGGCGGGGTAGAGTAGTCTCTTTTCAAAGGATTCATGGTCGTCCGTCTCCCTTCCCTGTGGTCTGACTCGTAGCCCGCATCATGGACGCTTCCACCAGACAAGATGGATGAAGCCAGCCCTTGAATAGAAGCCCAGCCTTGCGACCATGTGGTATCGAGGAAACTGGCCGAGTTTGGCGCGGTGTTGTTTCGACGGGCGGCGGAGGATGCACTTCGAGCACCGGATTTGGAGGCATCGCGGGATAAGTGGCTGGAAGGCATGGGGCTTGGCTCGCGGCTCGGTGAACGCAAGGCAGAAAAGGAAGCCGACAGCTTATCCAAGGGCCCTCCGGAGGTTGAGGAATCCTCTACAGTGCTGATGAGGCGCCGGTTGCGTGGGCGGGCTTCGGCATCATGACGTGCTGGCATGAGGGCCGAAGAAGACATGTGTGATGTCGACCCAGCCGGGTTTAGGGAATCTGCCATGATGGAGCAAGGCCGCCCACCTCGTCGCTTGGGTGGTAGGCAGTTGAAAGGGAGGGCATCAGCGCGTGGCTTCGATCATCGACAGTATTCGGTCGCTTGGAAGACGGTAATAGGCGATCTGGGTCGGCAGCGCCGTTGGCGACTTCGGAGTAGGAAGCACAGAAGGATGCAAGCGGTAGGAGAGGTTGAAGGAGCGGGCGATAAAGTATGTGTTTCGGTCAAGGCGGATTAAGTTCACAGGGGATGTCAGAGTGTCGCTCTCGCGTGTATCTCGAAGGGAAGGGCAGCTGAGGCCAAGGGAGAAGCAGGTGTAGTAGTCGTTGGTCGGTTGAGGAATGAATGGATGGAGGTGATGTATGATGGCCGAATGGATGGACAATTGGAACTGTGGTGGTGTACCTTTTCTTTAGCGTATGCAGTAGCAGCAAGCATGGAAGCAAGCAGTGACAAGCAGCAGTGGACGGGAAGCGGTGGTAGGATGGTAACTGTGGGTGGTGGCAGCGGGAGCGAACCGTATGTGCGTATGCGATACTGTGTATGGAGTATGGGCACCTCTCCACTGGGTTAAGTGTCCTTCCATTGAGGTGCTGAGGCGGCGGGCTTCACTGGGGGCCGTCGAGGGATGTGGGCCGGGGTTTGTCAAGGGACTTGAAGGGACCCTTGGCCAGCCCGCCAAAGACGACGCAATCAGGCACTCATAACTCGCTGAAAGGTACCTTAGCTCCGAACCTCGTGGCTCGAGGTACTTAGGTAAGGTACCTACCACAGTAGGTAAGATACCTTGGGTAGGTACCTAGGTACCGAGGACTGCTTGTGGCTCCCTGTCCTATCCGTACTGAAATGATTAGCGGTCCTTCCAGTGGGGACGAACAGGTGGCATTCCTGCAATCCCCCAATTCGCTTGAGGCCTGGGCTGTTTGAGAAGTCCCGAGTTAGCGGCCTACGGACATGAGTTCTCAGCGGTGGTGGGGGCGGATAATGGGGAAAGGGACATGACTGTTAGTCCTAATTACTGGAGAGACCTGGGACTCCTGGGAGACCTAGTCATGTTCGTGGCTCGCCCACCCACCAACTCACCTACGTAGTAAGACCCCACCCCACACAACAGATCACCCCCTACGACGGATCGCTCGATTAGGCCGACTTTTTCCCTTATTTAATACTACTACTACTATACTATATAAATATTAAATAATAATAAACAATCGTAAAAATTATATTAAAATTATTAATAGATTTACTATGCTTAATTATATAAAAGAATATATTAAAAATACGGAAATAAACGTCGGTTTTAATAAATTAATTTAAAAAACTATTATAAATTAGGGAATCCCCTATATTATTTTTTTAAAATAGTTAAAAAGTATTATAATAATTAAAAAATTAAAAGAGGATTATTAGAGGCTTAGTAAATACTAAAAATAGTCCCTTATTTATTAAATAATTATATAAAGCTAATTAGGATTTATTTTAATTTATACTTAAATTAAAAAATTTATAATACAAATTACTTAATAAAATAGTAATTAATACTTATTTAAAAAAAAGTAAATAAATAACTTTTTATAAAAGAATCTTATATTATTAATATTATAAGCCCGTTATATAAATTTAAAGCGCGTTAAGTCCGTTATTATTAATATTATAAAAGCTTTTTAAAAAATCTTAACGATCCTAGATATTAATAAGATCTTAAGGTCCTTTTATTAAAATATAAATAAAATAGGATTAATAAAAGGGAGTAATAAGGACTATTTAGTATTAAATAACTTTAAAAAAATTTTTATTTATATTTAGACCTCCGGGGATTATACTTAGATATTTATACTTAAATATATTTTTATAAGTAGCTATTACTTTTTATTATTAATTATTTTTAAAAAGTAAATTATATAATAATAGTAGTTTTTTAAAAAAATATTAAATTATATTTTATAAAACTTTATATTTTTTTTAAATAAATAGATTTTAAATATAATTAAGCTAAAATAGCTATTTAAAATATTTATTTTTTAAATAGAAATAGAGGCTAAGAGACTCTAGTTTAAGTATTTACTTATTATTAATAGTTATAATAGTTACGTTTCTAACGATTTTATATAATAATATTATTTTAAGGGTATTTATTTATATTATTTATTATTATATTTTAATTACGTTACGTAGCCCCTAAATATTTTAATATTTTTATTTTTTAAAATATATTATTATAATAAGCTTAATAATTACGGTTTTTAGTTTAGCTTAATACTAATTAAAAAAAAGAACTTTTTTTATTATTATTTTTAAGTTTAAAAATAAGCGCTTATAAAATAGAATATATATATTAATTAGAAAGTAATAAAGTTATAACTTATTAATATAAAATAGTACTTATTTAATAAATTTATTATTATAATATAGTTTATAAACGTTCTATAAATATTATTATAAGAACCCTTATTATTAAAAGCTCTTAAAATACCCTAAAATTATAATATTATTATTTTTAAAAAGTTAAAAAACTTTAAAAAGTACTAAAAGCTCTAAATATAAAATAAAAACGAAGCTAATTACAATTTTATTATTTATAAATTAATATTTAATAAAATAAATAAGTAATTAAATACTTAGAATATAGCCCTAGTTAATACTTAATTAGTTATTAAATTATTAAAGGCTTAAGTAAAATTATATAAGTTAATTACGAGGATAAAAGTATAATAAAATTTAAATAAACGATTTATATAAATCGAAGCTATTATAAAAGTAAAAAAAGAGGCTAAGGCTCGCTTATAGCGCTTAGTTATAGTTTTAAAGCTTATAATTAGTATAAAAAAAGCTTAATTTATTAATATATATTTAGAATTTTAGATTTAGTAGTGTTATATTATTAATAATTAAATTCGTAGTCATAATATTGAAAAGTTAAAGTTTAGAAAATCGTCTATTTTGGGTAATCCGTCGTAGGGGGTGATCTGTCTTGTGGGGTGGGGTCTTATAGTATTAATCAATCCGTCCCTCTTGGAGTCTTGCGGCTTGCCCCTCCGCTGGCTGAGGACATGAACCGTGCACGGTAAGGCACTTCCACTCCTCCGACTCGACGTTCCGCCCGGCTCCCAGCGGCCCCACTTAAACACTTTGTGCAATGGAAGTTCGCGGTCGCGACAGGTACCTCTCTTTTCCCCCATATTGCAGAACTTCAAAGTACGAAGCTGGACTGGAATCCCGATTCTGGCGCAGCGCAGAAAGCTCCGGTGTAGACGGCCACGACCATGCATGGCACGCGCTGTAATTGCCATTATAAGTAGTCGCATACCGTCAAACAAGTCTCAGCAGCGAGCAGCAAACGATACAGCAGTTACCCATGCCGAACGATCGATCCCTTTGCGACGTCTTTCGACCCTGACCACCTCTCCAGGTTGCGATGCCGATTTGTATCGAGTGCCGCCATCCGGTCAAGACACTATGGACCAAATACTCCAACGCTGACGATAAGTCGAGTGGCCACAACATCCGCCTGACCGTTTGCAGAAATTGCGGTCACTTTTGCGACAAATACGTCGAGCACGATTTCGTCGTGCTGTTCATCGATCTCGTCCTCATTAAACCCCAGGTCTATCGTCACCTGTTGCACAATACCTTAATGAAGGATGACGACCGTTTTGATGTAAGTCACAGGTGGAATTCGCGCCACGTATCTATCTACAAGATCTTCGCTGACGGTGTTTCCTACCTAGTCATCCATCGTACGACTCGGCATCCTTCTGTTACTGTTTGATGTCTACTTGACATGGGCGCGCATTGAGAAGCAGACGGCGCCCATCTCTGCTCGGGGCGAGGGCGCCAATCTGGGCAGCTTGGCACAGCAGTCGATTGTGTCCCAATATTTCTTCTTCCGTACGTGTTGTGAGGCATGTCAAGGGGTACCTCAGGTGGGAAAACTAACGCTCCGGCAGTTATCCTTTGCGCTTTGTCGACATTTGCCTTTCATATGAGCATTCGCTTCCTAACTTCGTCCAAGTTCTCTCCGCTGAACTTTTTCAACATCTTGCCCCGATACTCGCGTCCGAATTCCGTCTCGACCGCACTCCTCGTCTCGTCTTCGACCAAGCTATTCCCGATCCTCATGGTCATATGGCAGTACGATGTCCCAGCTGCGGCTCGGTCGCTGGGCTGGGCCGTCGTAGCAAACAACGTCGAAGCCCTTCGTATTCTGCTGGATTGTGGCTACGGCGTTGCCACTTTGCTCGCCACGCTGGGAGCTCTAGCCCGGTGGACAGTGGGACGCAGTGTTCTCTGGGCTGCGGGGCTAGATGGAGTCGATTCCATCGGAGAGACAAGCATTGCTGCAGATGGCAAAGCCCTTTGGGCTCTGTTGATGTACGTGAGGGAGTGGGCAAGTGACCTAGCCGCAGGATAACAGACAGTGTACAGCTGTAGAAGCCAGGCAAAAGAAATGCAAGTGTAATATGTACCAGCCGGCATTGCGTGAATTGGTGTTGCATAACTAGCCGTCTCGCCATCTCAGGTGCCTACCCAGTCCATCCGTAATCCTCATCGCCACCGGACCTGTGTCGTCTGTCGGCATCCCGGGCTATAGATGTGAGGCGGCACTCTTCAACAGCCAGTTACGCGCCGTTTCGTTCTATATGACAGAACCCTAACAAGCCCCTTAACGCCGCCCTTATGAAGTTGCAGTTGTGTTAGATCGATAATAGTACATCGCACCCATGGCGTTGCATCTCTCTCCCTCGCCCTTCCAACATCACCTCGAACAGCAAGTCGCTAATGGTGCACGGCGCTCTCGCGGAGGTTGCTGCGTTTGGGTTCGATCAAGGGGTGGAGTTGGGCAAGGAACGTGATGGCCCACATGAGGTAGCAGCATGCGAGGGCAAGGAGGAGGGAGGATCTCCAGATGCTGTAGATGATGGTCAGCCACGTGTGTCTTTGTCGCAATGACGAAACAGTGGTAGTTCTCCAATTGCGACATCTCGCTTCGAGTGGAGGAACAACGTACATCTGGGTGTCGCCCTTGGGAGACAAGAACCATGCGCCAGCGCCCATCGCGACGACGATGACGAGGCCGACGAAGATGCTGTACCTATTGTTTTCTCATGTCAACACACATCGCTCGTCGGAGTACGCTCGTCTATGAGGGGGTTAACGAACCCTTGCGCCATTTTCGCTGCTCGATTCGGAAGAGGTGTGGTCTGGAGGTTTGTGCAGGTATGTCGGATTTCGCGTTGACGTCGTCGTGGTGCTTCGTCGATTGCTTCTGTCGTCGTTGGAAAGGCTGGGCTAGGTATGAGGTCCTGGACGTCAGTTGTGGGTGCAACTGTCGGTGCAGTGCACCAGCTGGCAGCTCGACCGTTGCTGCTGCTTAGTCATTCCCGTCTCCCCACCTGGTCTTCCAGCCTGCCCGTGAATCTGTTATGGGCAGCCTAGGTAGGTGTGCTAGCCGTCTAAGTATTTTGTAAGTCAATTTTCAAGTCATTAATACTGGATCCTACGACTCGAGGTTGGAGTAATATGCGTATCTCATTTCGCGCCACGCAACTAAATCTGAATCATTATTCTCGTATCTTTCTTTTTTCCACTTCATGTTGAGCTTTAGTCTTTAATCTGATGCCCTTTGAGCCATGTTTCCAGCATTGGGAGCCCTTGCTCAAGAATCATTCTCGTACTTGAGGCCAGCTTCCTTTCTTACGGCGCCATAGATGCCGGCCATATCACCTGACGGCCCTACGTGCTCCTTAACAATCTGTAGGTGCCTGTCGGCGTTTTCAATGTTTGGCAGTCGTGTCCCTGCGGCCTTGGCAATAGCCATGGCGTGCCCGGCGTCTTTCCTCGCCAAATCAACGGCGAAGAGCGGTTCCTCCCGCTTGTAATAATCACCCTCCAACATCCGCACCGAGTACGCAGGGTAAGGACTGCCACCGAACATGGCGTCGACAAACTGCTTCACGTAACCGGTCCCGAGCCCGCTCTTCTCGGCAGCCACATATGTCTCGGCGAGCTGCTCGACCATGCCCAGGATGACGGTGTTACCCAGCACCTTCAACGTCGATGCCTTGTGATACGGCTCATCAGCCATGTTGATCTCGCGAGCCGCCATGGCATCAATATAGGGCCGGATCTTCTCGATCGAGGCCTTGGGTCCGGCAAGCACCAAGGTCGCGTTGCCGGCAGCTACCATTGCAGGTGCTCCGAACACGGGCGCGCATATGAACTCGGCGCCCTTGTCCAGCACCGCCTTCGCGGCCGCTTCTGAAGCGCCGGGAGCAATGGTTGAGCACTCGACAAAGACTTTGCCCTCGAGTTTCTGCTGGGCTGCGGATGCAAATATTTCCTCCACTGCCTGGTCGTTGGCAACACACGTGAAGATGATGTCAGCCTGCGCGATGGCGTCCCCGAGCGACTCGACGACCTGCGTCTTACCGGCGGGCAGGCTCTGGCTCAGCTCCGTGGCCCGCTTGGTGGTGCGGTTGTAGATGAGAAGTGGTTTGTCAAGTTTGGACTTTTCCGCAATGTTTTTACACATACCCTGAGCTGGTCAGCTCGCATGTCTTAGTTGGCACTGGGTTTTCCGACTCAGAGCTCGGGAGCAACTCACCCTGCCGATGTTGCCGAGGCCGATCCAAAGGAGCGTCTGAGCCATTGTGAAGGGGTTTTCTTCTTAAGATGGCTGTGGTTAACAAGGATGGCTAGTGGTAGATGAGGCTGGGAAAGAACTATGCAAGTCAAAGTTCAGTGGAATACAAGAACTCAAGGGAGAAATGTGTTAGTAGTGAGAATGCAACTCATGAAAATGTTCAATGAAATTGGCGACATGTAAGCGGCGGCATTAACATGCCGGGAAGCCCCTCAGGGTCTCGGTCAGTTGAGTTTGAAGAGCGAGGTGACGACAACGGCTTTGCCCGAGCGGGGTTGCTTCGGTTCATCATAGAGACCACAGCGGCACTTTCATCGGTAACTTGGGACAAACAATAGCAGGGGCTAAGAAATTGACTAGCATAGTGAATAGATAGGAGCGCCTCGAGGTTAATGGAACGGTGATATGCCAGTATTAAACTAGGCAAAGTAAGGCGGGTAGTCAAGTAAGGCGCTTAGTACTATTCAACGGCATTTTAATAGCAGTTGAAGACGAGTGATCAACCAAGGGGCTTACAACTTTGCTCCACTGCATAGTACCTACGCTTTACAACTTATTCAGGATCCCTTTTCCACGCCAACAGAGCTCAGACGTCGGGAGCGTACCTGATGCGGAATTGAGCAAGGCAGTCCGGCTAATTAGTGTGCATCTACGGCTGTTCCCGTCCTCGCAGCTGTGCCTTGGGGTGCCAAGTAGTAAGAGTCTTACTATACTAGTGTAGGTAGAATGAATACCTGTACCTTGGTTGCTTGACGGCCGTTGGTGTAAGTCGTGCGAAGCTGCCGCTCATGAGGTCTCTTTTTGCCCCTCGTCACATGCTGAGCCTTTTTTTTTTTCTTTCCCGACATGCAAGCAATTGCATCGGGAGTGCGCGGCCAGAGATGAACCGCGCGGATTGTTGAGGTTTTTTTTTCGATTGGTGATTTGTCTTCTCTTACCTCGTCTGCTTGTCCGACACCTCGCCTCGGTGCTACGGTAATACTTGACGGTCGCCGATGGCGGTCCCCATGATGGAGACCTATCTGTTCTTATCGTCTTATCAGTACGCCCTTTGGTAGGTCACCTTGACTCACAAAGTGGGAATTTCTCGGTCGGGGGGACAGGGCGGGTTGCAGTTCGTGCTCTCCCGGCCTAAGCCAAGGTCCCTTTCTCTTCGTCACCGACTCTTAATGTCTGCCCGACTTTGTTCCTGCAACTTCATTCAAACAGACGCGATTCAGTGCTCAGACAGATCCCAAGGACGACCCGACAGTCAGTAGCATGGCTGTCTGAAGGGATGGATCTGCTTTGACCCTCCCCTCTCTCACGACGCTGCTACTACGCTGTCTCTAATCGGCCGGTGACTTGGTCACAGACTCTAGCTTCTTGTATTGCCTTCACTTGCCTCAATACTATACCTGCTTCTGTTTATACTCTTTACGAAGGAACAACAAGATTGTGTCCACCCGGACTCACTTTCAGATACCAGACCGCCTCGCCTTCTATCTGGTCATCATACTGCCACTGCATGCCAACGAAGCACATCCCCGGCATGCCCTACATTTCTCGCCGTTATCGGTAAGATGCGGTCTCCAGCGTTGAAGCAAGCAAGCAACCTGGTTGCAAGGGTATGCGTTCCAACTCTCAATTCCAACACGTCTCAAAGTCGTTACGCCCAGGCCTTACAAACTTCATATTAGGCCCCGTTCGCTCTCGACTCGTATAGTCCGCCCAATTGCAGACTTTATCACCGCCCGCGGTTAGGAGGCACGCGCCAAGAAGAAGCCTTGCAAAGTGCCCTTTCAGCAGTCCGCCATTCATCTAGCAATCAGGCCCGCGAGAGGCAACGAGCAGAAGACAGAGTACTTATTGAAATACCACTTTATGACCTCTCTCTCAATCTCTGACACGAGCTGCAGGACTTTATTGTATCAGTCTTAGAGGCCTCGGCCACGCGTCGTGATGCCAAAGGCTACCTTCAAAAATATGCCCCTCAGTCCGGCGAGGATGGCTCTAAGAAGCGCAAAGTTTCCAAGTCATCAGAGGGGCCTGATCAAACTTATTCGTCTGTTCGAGTCATCAACCAGGCGCCCAAGTTCATCCAAGGCACTGAGTTCAAGGCCGAAAGCGCCATTCCTGAGGGCGAACCCATCAACTTAGCGATTGTTAAGATACGCCTACCCCAGGATGTTGACGACGAGATGCTGAGTGCTATCGCCAAAACCCTGACCCAACTTAGGAAACTAGGACTCGTAAGCCTCATTGTCCTCGATGGAGGACAGGTATCGTCCCGAAAGCTTCTTCGGGAGCAATCATGGAGAGTCCAGCAAGCCATTGAGACATTTGGCGAGCCAGGTAGCATTCTGCTCGATCAGTGCATTGCCGAAGCTGAGTCGCAGACGGCGCAAACAAAGGGGTTCATGCCGTCAGGCGTATATATCCAGCACCCGCACCTACTACTACGAGCTCTGCGAGACAATGCGATTGTTGTTGTACCTCCAGTCACCATGGCACACAACATGAAGAGCATCGACGTGATAGACGCCGACGAAACCATTATTGCGCTCACCAAGTTTTTCTGTGGTCTTCAGTTCAACGCCTCGGATAGCCCCGTTGGAGCGCCTGACTCCAGTCTCAGCCCTGGCGCCAAGGTTGCCTCAGTCGAAAAGGTCATCATCCTAGATCCAGCTGGAGGCACACCTCTGTCTGATGCACATGACGATTCGTGTCATCGATATATCAACTTGGACCAGGAATTTGAGGGCATCATGTATGGCCTCACGCACCCCACAGGATCAGAAGCACGCCGAGGTAAATACCCCGAGAGTGTGCGGCAGCTCCACGCTCGGAACCTCGACCTTTCAAAGAAGGTGCTTGCGATGTTGCCCTCGACTTCTTCTGCTATAATCAGCACCCCGTCTGCTGCAGCAAACAAGCCGATTCAACAGTTCACAAGCGTCACGACACGTAACCGGCAAAATCCTTTGATTCACAATCTCCTGACGGATAAGCCCGTATTTTCATCATCACTACCGCTCGACCGGGTCCGCTCTGGGAAAAAGGGCGACATGGCGTCCGGCGAGACCCACGTGGCAACTTTGGTCAAACGCGGCATGCCGCTTACAGTCTATCCAGATCCCACAATCAGTGCCTGGGTGCCACCACGGCCGGGCGGCCCGCGCTTGAGACTCACAGACACCTGTATAGACATGCCCCGACTGGTCAATCTTATTAACGACTCCTTCAACCGAGAATTAGACGTTGAGCACTATTTAGAGCGTGTCAACGAGAACCTGGCCGGTATCATTATTGCGGGTGAGTACGAGGGCGGAGCAATCCTAACTTGGGAGAAGCCTTTCGGACTGGATGAAGAGACTGCGTATAAGACTGGTCGACTGGTTCCGTACTTGGATAAGTTTGCGGTTCTCAAGAGCCGACAGGGAAGTGGTGGAGTTGCAGATGTGGTTTTCAACGCCATGGTCAGAGGCTGCTTCCCAGAAGGCGTCTGCTGGCGTAGCCGACAGGACAACCCCGTTAATAAGTGGTATTTTGAAAGATCTCTGGGCACATGGAAACTCAAGGACACCAACTGGACCATGTTTTGGACAACGCCACACCTCCCACTGAGCGATCCGAAGCTGTTGGATTATGAGAATGTTTGTCGTTACATTGAACCATCGTGGGCAGACACCAAGCCACCCGATTAAGACCTCTAGGAGTGGCTTTGAAGAGGAGCTTCCAGTGGCCATATTACCATTGAAATGGGAGGCGGGGTTCAGACAAATCTGAATGCATCCAAGAGAAATAAAAAAGCGAGATTAACGTTAAATCGATGCACATCACACATGAATATAGGTAGTCTTCCATTGTGAATGTCTTTACACTTCTAGCTTGCTTTTGGGACTCAGTTGAAGGGGGAGCGCCTACTAAGGTACCTATTCTTTGAAAGTACGATGAAAGAATGGTGTATCTAAGCAAGGCCTGCAGTTTCCACATAGAACCACAAACTCAGCTAGAGTCTGCATGAAGAACAGCTACTCGGTAACTCTGAGTAAGGTAGGGGACTGAAGGGATGCATCCACCAGCTGCGAAGAGACAGTGCCATCCAAAGATGCCCAAGAGACAGTACGTACTGGGGAGTGTCCCATAAATCACGTGCGCTAGTGTGCACCCATTCCCTGCTTGACTGATCCACCTGGCCAGCTGCCCCTGGGTAGCTTGTGACAGCATGCTGGAGGTTGCTGTGCAGCCAATTTAACATACTGGATACCTGTCTATCTTGCTTCAGGTCGCAGGCAGGCACGAGGCAGAACTCCCGCATCTACAACCCACCTCAACCAGTCCAACAGGCACTATCGTCAGTGCCGACTTTCCCGCAGCGACCGAGTTGCTTTCTTTTCCCACCCTACTTTGTCCTATCAAACCACCGCCAAGATGGACTTCAAGAATATCGGCAAAAGCTTCACGTGCGTTGTCGCATGCCCTTCATGTCAGCGGTCGCGAGTGCTGTATCCAGGCTGACGAAATCCCAACAATGCAGCTCCTTCGGGTCCTCAATCACCCCTTTTGCTTCCCGTACTTTCCAGTACACCAAGGAGCAGCTTGGTCAGGCCGAGGACAAGGTACTTTGATTTCTTTGCGCCAACCTGATCAGTCGCTCAATCAAGCAAGAGCTAATCTCCTCGTCCCCAATAGACTCAGCTTCCTCCCGACTACATTGATCTCGAGAAGCGCGTCGATGCCCTCAAGCAGGTCCATCAGAAGATGCTGGCCGTGACGTGAGTTCTCGACTGAGAGGCCCTATGAGTCGAAAACCGACCACTAACACCGACGACCTGAAGCTCGCAATACTCGAACGAGGCCTACGATTACCCGCCCAACATCAAGGAGACCTTCCAAGATCTCGGTCGCACCGTCAGCGAGAAGGTTACTCTTCTGTCCTCCGCTGGTTCCCCGGCCGAGGCCCAGGCAGCCCTGACCGCCCCCCCTTCGGCGAAGCCTCAGCCCAAGACCTTCAACCATGCTATTGCCCGGGCCAGTCTGTCAAGCAGCCAGGTCCTTCACCAGCAGCATACCGGTACGGGCGAGGATCCCTTGGCTACGGCGCTTGAGAAGTATGCCTTGGCTATGGAGCGCGTTGGCGAGTCCCGCATGGCCCAGGATGCTCAGATCCAGAGCCGCTTCCTTGCCGGTTGGAACACCACCTTGAACACCAACCTCAAGTTCGCTACTCGCGCCCGCCAGAACGTCGAGAAGTCCCGATTGACTCTCGATGCTGCCAAGGCCCGCGCCCACGGTACTACCTGGAAGATGGGCCCCGGCGCTACTCGTCCCGATGAGGGTCAGCCCCAGGAGCTGAGCCCTGAGGCCCAGGAGGAGATCGAGAAGGCCGAGGACGACTTTGTCACGCAGACTGAGGAGGCCGTTGGTGTCATGAAGAATGTTCGTACACCTGAATCTTTAGCCAGCACGGAATTAGGGGTTGCTAACTTTCTTTACAGGTTCTTGATACCCCTGAGCCCCTTCGCAACCTCGCCGACCTGATTGCCGCTCAGATCGAGTACCACAAGAAGGCTTACGAGATCTTGAGCGAGCTTGCCCCGGTTGTCGATGGCCTGCAGGTTGAGCAGGAGGTTAGTCGTGCCTCGAACTACGAAGTATAACGAAGACCGATCCGTGCTGACGCCCTTTCGCTGCAGGCCAGCTACCGCAAGAGCCGTGAGAACGCCTCTTAAGCGGCTGGAAGTGAGCGCCTATTTTTTTGATCGCCGCTGCCTTTGCAGTACTAGCAGCTTCGTCATACCTAAATTCGGTTGATGTCTAGCGAGCTGCCAGCATTCCGCGGGTTGATGTACTTGAGGGCTGGAGGAAGCCCGATCGCTTTTATTGCAGCCGGTATGGCTGGGGCCGCGTATGTTACGCACCATGCATCGTTGAAAGACGGCTGGTTTCTACTTCAGCTATGGGTGGCTTTAGGGACTACTTCGATTCCTTATCGACGCCTGAAACCCTCATAGCAGGGTGTGAAAGCGTCCTGATTGCGTCGTTCAAGGTTGATTTTACGACTTCTGAATATAGAGTTGTTTTCACGTTTGACGAGTTCCGAACGACTACCAGCAATTGTGACTGGCAGTACGATTCGGCACTAAATTCCAATAGCTTGTCCATCTTCTCAATTCAGTGCCGGCCTGCATGCCTTCCTATCCGTACGTTCATGTGGAAAGAGTCTCATTAGTCGTGATATCAGTAGTGAGTGCATTATCAGAGGAGCGTCGTGTCAGTGGCAACGTTTGGCCCTCAGAATGCCGTCACCTCTTCCCTCAAGATCGAAAGTAAAGCACGGAAAACAGGGAAAGCAGCCTAGGTTACTGAGCTTGTCAAATGCATGCGTTGGATTGAAACAAATGCTATTGAAAAGCGATACACATTTGCGCCTCCGAGAGTGTCTGAATGACGAAGTGAGATCACGTGACGCGGAAGTGCTGACTTATGTAAGGAAATCTACTGGTCAATGAAATCCAAGCGACATTGCATCCCCCAGTACTGCTGCCGTCCTTGCGCTCCATAGCTCAATTCACTGAACACCCGCGATCTCCAATTCGAGCCAATTGATATCGCAACTATGCGGAGAACACTTCGCCTTTTCGCGGGCGTCAAGCCTGCTCGCTATCTCGAAGCCGGCACCCCGACAGGTCTCACCGGCCTCTGGACGCACAACAGCCCGCGGTCGACGTTGCTCTACCTGTACGGCACCACCCTTGAGAAGCTCCAGACGGTCCCCGAGTCCTCCCTCTACCGCCAATCGGTCGAAGCAATCACGAAGCACCGCCTCAGCCTCGTCGAAGCGACGGTACCGCCCGGATACCCCGAGTGGGAGAAGAGGGCCGAGCAGATTGTCAAGGAGAAGCCCGAACAATTCCGCCTCGTCAGCGGCCGCGTCGACGGCAGCGGCGCGCGGACGGTGAAGCTCGGAGGCAGGACGTTTGTCGTCGCGACCCAGCACGAGGAGCAGGACGTCCGCTACGAGGAGTGGGACGGCGAGAAGGACGAGGGCGGTACCCTGGAGGGCCCCCGTAGCGAGGCCGAGCGAAAGGATCACCAGCTCCTTGCCGACCGCAAGGACCTGAACGACGTCGCCAAGGTGCAGTGGGAGGCGGAGCCGCAATTGACGGCCGACCAGTACGTTTTTGTTCTCCCGGGGCAGGACCACCACGTTGAGGTGGTTTTTCTGGCAACGGGGAAGAGGGCTTACACTGACCTGTTCTAGGATTTCCGAGTTGGAGACCAAGATCGGAGCTGGCCTCATTGAGGAGGTTATTCAGGTTGCCGAGGGCGAGCTGAAGCTCGTGGATGTGATGACACAGGCCAAGGTGTACGTTCTTTTCTCTCTTATCCCTTTTCTCCCAACCTTGCTAACAGTCATGATCAGGTGGGAGGACCTCGAGGAGAAGCCTGTCGAGGGCCAGTGGACTTACTTTGAGCGCAAGTCTGCGTAAGCGGATGCTTCTTACTGCTGAAGACACTTGCCAATTCTAGATAATGTACATTAGGCGACTGTGATGACCAAAGATACATCGAGATGTTGCTTTTTTCCCTTTCCCTGGCTTATTACGTACACAAAGGCAGCTATCGTGAAAGTACATTCCCCCCTTACTTTTCATGCTAGATCATGAGGCCCAGACCAAGGAATTGATAACAGTATGACGTTTGCTGTTGGGTCTCAAGACAGGGATAATGGGCTCCTTGAGGCTTTGCTTGTCTTGCCTCAATACCAGATAGAGCTTGAAGTGCGCAGCGCCTCGAGGCAAGAGGAAATTCGATCGATCGGAGCCAGCAGCTGTACGAGACTATCGTGATAACAGGTGTTTAAGGGAAATCGAAAGGTGGGTAGAATGGATCAGGGTACGCTCACTCCGGAGCGACACTTCGTAGACTGAATTCAGGTAAAGAGCACATTGATCAAGAACAAGGCCGCCCATGATCCCTAACCTAAATACCTTGCCATTGAAGGGTACTTGAACTGAATTCTCCCAGAAAGGCAGCCATGGGTACTGGTGCTAAATAATTGCGAGCAGGTTGTTGAAGCTTCCGCGTCCATCCCTCTATGCTTCGTACCCTTGTGGTAGACACAGTGTAAATGAAGCAAGCGGCCCCCACTTCACTCTTTGACCGAATTCTCACCACACACTCATCGTACTTACACTATTACCTCAACCTCACCCAAGCCTACCAAGAGAAATGAACCTTCAATAACAATACCAACATATCCATAAAACTCTAGACACCAATACTTCTAATTGTGTCATCAAAAGCTCATCACATGAGTCCGCGCACGGGGCGGAAGCGACCATGAGCCAGCCAGCCACCAGCCGCAAGAGGTCCGCCTCAGCCATATCTATGAGCGACGGCAACGACTACCGATACCAGTCCCAGCTCCCCAGCGACTCCATCAACCCGCTCAGCCATACCCCTTCCATCCTACGCCAGCTCCATCTCGCTGGTCTCGCAGAGACGGACGAGCTGCCCTCGAGGACGCAACCCAGATTTCCGCACCGCCACTGGCAGGACCCCGATGCGCCGGCTCGAATGGGACCGTCCGCCTCGTCGGCGTCTCTATCAAAAGCGCTCGAGACCAGCGAGGTAGAAGAAGAGGACGACGACGGCGATGAGGTTCTAGATGAAGACGACAAGAAGCGCCGCCGTAGAAAAAAGGACGGCACCACAAAACCAAAATACGCCGCTGAAAAATCCCCCTTCCGGCCCCTCGTCCGCGCAATCTACGGCTTCCTCGACGCCGGCGACGTCACCAACGCCAAGCGCGCCTTCGGCATCCTCGCGCGGTCCACGGCCCACGGCAAACCCGTCGACGTGCGGCGCAACAACTACTGGGCCCTCGGCGCCGAGATCCTCATGCGCGAAGGGGGCAGCGCGCGCGCCACGGCCGCGGACGACGAGGCGTACCCGTTCGCCAACGCCCCGCGCGTGCGCGAGTACTTTCGGGATCTGATCCAGCGGTTCCCTTACAACTACAAGCACCGCCACGCCGTGTGCGCCGTCGACTTTTGGCCTGCGCTGTTGAGTTATGAGGTCTTTCAGGTGCATGCACAGCATGCGGCTTCGTTGAGGCGGATGAATCGCGAGGCGGAGGATTGGGAGGATGAGTCGTGGCAGGAGCCTTCCTCGCTCCTCGACGGTGGCGCCGGGGGTGATAGCATGATGGAGGGATCCGGCTTCCGGCCTGAGCAGGTCAACGGGCGGGAGACGCGTCTGCGGCAGGCGAGAGACCAGATCCGGCTCAAGGCGCTCGACATGCTGCGCGAGGTGGCGGGCCGCATGATCGACCTGCTGGAGGACCGGCCCTTTTCGCACAGTGCCGAGCTGTGGCGGGTGCGCGGGATGGTGTCGCTGTACATTGGCGACCTGCTCATCCCGGCGTACACGCACGACGAGAAGGGCGGCCAGATGGCGGAGGCCAGGGTGCGGCGGGAGGCGGAGAGAAACAATGCGCGGAGCAGCTTTCAGAAGATGGTGGAGCACGGCGGGAAACTTGATGCCTTGGTTCAGAAGCTCATGGCGCCCGTTGAGGAGGACGAGGGACCTGTGTTGCCCGTCTTTTCATCGCTTCCCTTCAGAGAGTATCGGACAGCTAGCTAGAAGTGCTGGCCGATATTATTCTGATGCGGAAAATTAAGCTAATCGAGAGCATCAAAAAGATTGGTCCGAGCCGAGGAACCGTCCTCTCTCTACCCAGCAATACCATCCACCGCCAATCCTTCCTATCGACTCACTCACGCATCCTTCTTGGGTACCCATCTCTGGAAAACCAGAGCAAAGTTGGAGCTGCCCACGACGACGCACCATTCACCCCCGGGGCTCCAAGCAACCTGTCTACCAACGAAGGTCGAAGCACCGCAGTTCTCAATCTTGTGGGGTTTCAGGGGCACCTGAGGGTTGCCGACGGTAAACTTGCCATCCCACGTCTGCAGCGTTTCCTGGTTGTACTGGGCTCTCAGCTCGGGAATCTGCTCGAGCTCCGTCCGGTGAGCCTTGTCAGCCGCCTTCTTCTCCCGGACCGTCGGCGCCGCCTTGCCGTTTGTATTGGCCCGATGGGTGATGGCTGGCAGCCAACTGGGCTTCGGAACGGCCTCCTCCCCGTCTCTCTTGGGTCTCTTGACGGCATTGACATAGTCGTGGAAGCCTGTGATTTGCTCAAAGTCCCAAAAGTAGATTTTGCCGTTGGCGTTGCAGAAGGCCAGGATGGGGTGCTGGTCGGGAACGAAGTGCAGCTTGAATCGCATAAAGAACTGCGGGCCGCAACCAAGCGTCTGGAACTCGATGAGCCGCGTATAGGGAGCTGGACATTCTGCCGAAACGCCCGGGCTAAAGGCAGAGCGGGTGAGATTGGCCGGGTTGATGGTAGTTGGGGCCATGGACTGCGGAGGAGGCGGGTCCTGGGAGGAGAAGCCTTCAATCTTCCACAAGACGATTACATCGTCGTGGCAGGCTCGAGAAAGGATGTAGTCGCCATAAAAGGATACACTGAAAGACATCAGTAGTCTGTAACATGCAGCTTTTCAAGCAAAGACTAACCAATCCACGAGACTACTGTGAACCTCTGATGTTGAGAAGTGAGGATAGTGAACCTCCACTGGACGGTCGGTATGCTCAGTGGGAAGGTCTGGTACTGTCCACTGTTCGGTTTGTTAACCAATGAGCTTGGGAGCGGCACATGAGATTATTGCCTACGAGGTTGATAATTTGATCATGGCCGGCGGAAAGAATATATCGGCCCGTGTCGTGCCATGCCTATGCAAAAGAGTTAGCCTCAGAGCCGCAACCAGGAGGCGGCAATGGAGCTACACGTACCAATGTTAGCAGGTTCCAGTAGTGACCTTCGCCTCCAAGAATGCACAAGCAGGGCTGCTTCTCATGTTTGGGATCTAGACTCCATATCCGGACTGTCGTATCGTCGGAACACGAGGCGATGATTAGAGGATCTATCGGAGACGTAACCACGTCACAAACGTCCTGAAGGTTCATCAGCAGGAGCCCCCAATATGTAATATTATTCCAGGCATGACTCACTCCGCCATGACCGACGAGACACTAAGTGAGATGTGAGCAAAACGTCTACGTGATACGTTGGATGTATCTCAACTCACGTTGACGAGCTTCTGTTCGATTATGTCGTAAACCTTGATCTTGGCGTCTTCACCGCCGTAGCACAATAGCGGCCTGCCGGTCTCCGCGTCTCTTGTCCAAGTGCAGGAGTAATTTCTTGCCTCGGTCTTTATTCGAGTCAGTTGCCGAGGCTGCTGTGGGTAATTTGTTTACTAGGGAGGACGCACATCATCATCCCGAATTATGCTGATAATTTCGCATGGATTCGAGTCATCGGCAGCTGCCGTGAGGCGGCAGACTATTATCTGGAGAGGAGGTTAGGGCCCAAAGAGCACTCCCAAGACAACAACTCGGATGCTGCAACCTACATGCTTCTTACTAACGGCAGCGAAGACGGGCCTCGCATCCAATGGCTGATAGGGGCAGAATTTGACATCAAAGAACTCTGAGGCGAGATTAGCCACGGTTGAAAGCAGTGCTTTGAGTCAACATTGGGGCAGGGCTTACCAGGCACCGGATCATCTTGAGCGAGGAACCTGGTGTCATCCTACAGCTCGTGTCAGTGGAAACTTTATTGAACGGCAAAGAGCCGCGTAAAGAACATGGCATTCTCAAAGTAGCTATTGCAGCTGGGTATCTCTGATGGGAATCCTTAGATACGCGGGTAGTAGGGAACAGGTAAGAATAGACTAAGAGCAATAAGGGCTCTTCGACCCCAGTTCGGCTATTTCAAAGATAGGAGCAAGTACCTCGAGATGAACCGAGACTCTCAGTCTCGGAAAGTCGTATGGAGTTGGTGTTGAGGTGGGGGCCATGACAAAATTCAATGTCAATAAAGGTCGGGATCGGAGGACGCGTTGAAGGCAACCCCGGCCTGAGATTCAGAGATGGCCAACCAGCTCGTTTGCGCGGCAACTTCTTACGAGTAGTTTCGTCCGTAAAGTGCAACTGCGGGCGGAGGCATGAGCCACGGAGGGAAGCAAGACGCGTCAAGATGCAGTTGATAACTCGAGATCAGCTTTGTGTGTGTTGGCGTGTGCTTTGTGCAAGGACTCGTGTTAGTGTAGCTGCTACTGTCCCGGGTCCCTAACCTCAAGTAGGACTGGATGCGTTGCGGATACACTAAGGAAGGTACCTAGGATAAGGTAAGCAAAGAGAATTGAGAAATAACAAGGCAACGCTATGCAATGGAAGTGGCAGTTGGAAACAGAAAGAAGTCGGTAAGAATACTGCGTATCTAGCGCGTGAACTCAAGGTACCGAGTAATGAGGCACTGCAAGGTAAGGAAGGTACCTCACCTGGTAGGCAAATTGGAATAGGTAATGGAAGGAAGGAGACGGAGCTCGGCAGGTGGGGCTTGCGTTTTCTCACTTGTTCTTGCCGAATGTGGGCGTGAAAAGAGGAAACTTTGAAAATAGAGAACACAGTCGGTCGCGCAATCGTCAATAGGAACTTTCCGCTTTAGTGGGCCGTGGTTGACGGAACCTCGAATAGCCAAGGCCGGACCGGGGCCACTGCAGTGCCCGAAGCAGTGGAGGAAGAGGCCAATTGGGGTCGAAACGCCTGTAACGGTACGCTAGCCCTTAAACAGCACCGGCCACGGGAGCATCAGCAACCTACCTACCTAGAGCCATTTCTTACTTGATCACTACCGGGACCTCTTCAAGTCTCGATAAGTATGCCCGACTTGAGCGGCATTTCATACCATCTTGTCACATCTAGCTCGCCTCATAATGGAGAGCGGATGGGTCTTTGATTGGGCACACCTTTGTTGAAGGTGGGAGAACTACCTCGTTGGGGCACTTTTGTTATTCCCACCATCTACCAAAGGTATGAAGCAATTTTGTAGTACGGATACCGGTCAATATGTCTAATTACGTTCTCGGTGTATGAAGTTGCCTTGTCCAAGCACAGTGACTTGGTTCAGAAGCTTGCGCCTACCCGTCAGCATCATCGGACATGTCAATTGGATGTATAGAGTCAAGGTTGTGTATAGAAGGTGAGACAAAGTGATAACACAAAGCTTTTGACATTTGGTACCTTGGGTCTCATGATCATTGAGACTACCTTGGCTGAGAAGATTCAACAAAACCGACTGCGTAATACCGTAACTACCTGGTGGGAGGGCGCAAGGGTAAGCACACATTTGGAGGACTACCAGGTGAAGGTTCAAAGAGACCTGTGATTTCCTCTTCAGGCATATGACAGGGAAGGAGGGAGCATCGTTGGGGTGCCGTCAAATAACAGGACTTCAAACCCACAATGTCTCCGTCATTGTTCCCATGTTTTGTTAGTAGACCCGGAAGGAAAATGACATTCTGGGACGGGGATGGCTTCCTTAGGAGGGTGATTAGGAGGTGATTGGGAAGTGACTGATCGAGAAAACGTGGACCATTCCTCGACATCGAAGGTCTAGGAGGAGCAACGGGATGTTGAGAAAAGAGAGAGGGGGCGGCGCTATTAGATCGGTCGATGACAACAGAGACTGGAGGCTCTTGTACCGTTCTGAAGTTTGAGTACTTGGAGTGCGGTGCGAAGTCTGGCAAACCTACTTACCTTACTAGGACAATAGCACCTTGATGGAGGTATCCAAGAAAAAGTGAGTTATCACCCGATACCTGAAGAGGCCGTACCTCCCTAAGGAACCCTACCTTACCACCTTACCTACTTTACCTCGCCTTGCCTTAGGGTCCTTCTTTCCCCGGGGTGTGTGTCCTGCACGGTTCGTCCTCCGGGCCAATTCGATGTCAAATTGGTGCAGGGAAAGAGCGGATCTCCAGGGATAGTGGAGTCTGGTGTGGCTGCACCGGCTCTTTTCCTGGCCCGCGGACACTACTACTCTACCTTAGAAGTTAGCACCTCACTTGACACTACCTTACCTCACAGACCAAGCCATCTTCAAACGTCGACTACGGAATGGTTTCGCTTACTATCTGTACGAGTTTGAGACCTCTCAAGCAGACGCCAGACGGCTGATGCCGCAAGGTATCATGCAAGCGCTGAACATCACCTAGTATCAGACTAGAAAACGCCCTGCGTTATCCAGAGGCAGCCTAGCGCGAACAGGCATGGAGGCTGATTGTTGCGGCACCGCTGAGAGCTCCTCTGACGATCTTCTCATCACAGGTTGATTCTCAATTCTCGAAAAAGATACTGCTCCCAGGCTTCGTCTCTGCATCTCGGTACTCATTGCATTGCACACAGAATGGTAGTACGGCATCAGCACAGGCACGAAGCCCTGATTCTTCCATCGCGTTGGCAAGGCAAAGAGGCACGCCAGTTGAGGAGGATACGTCAGCCAGCATCCAGGGATTTGAGAAATGACGGCGGGTCGCCTTTTTCAAAGGCCCTCGTCTCTTGCAAATTCCCATACCGCCCAATCGTCGAGTCTCGATGCCAACCATCCATCACCGCGTTTCGATATCGGGCCTGCATCACTTTCGCACATCAAGAAATCCCATTATGCTACGGCCTGTCAATATCACACGTCTACGGAGTACGGAGTACTGTACGGATCCCTCCATGTCTGTTCAACCCCTGACAGCCGTGTCATGGCAGTTGGGATCCGCAGACTGTTAATAAACCTGTCCCGTCGTGGGTCTTCGTCCGTGGGCCATGCTGGGCACGCCGCTGCGATATCTTTCATGTCGGTCGTACAAACCATCCGCCCCTCGCGACCTGGCACCGCTTTCTCGGCATCCTGTCTATATGCGGTTCACGTCACGAACGGACGTCGAGGGGCCCTGCGACATTCAAAGAGGCAATCCACTTCTTCATCCGGTGAAGAATAGGGGAACAAAATAAGTCTTGGAGCAAACAAGATGAAAGAGTTAGTCGGTGTATACATCACATATTCTGCAACAAGGTATCTGCTCCGTAGACATCGACAGCTACTTTCAAGATACTCCGTACAAGTGGCGCATACGGCTCGAGCCTCCAACGGCCAATAGCCTCCCTTGACATTTGGCAGTCTCCAGATAAACCGCTCTTCATCTGACTCGAGTTTGCTCAATATCGTTTGTCTTGACTCCAAATGTGTGCCGGAGTTACGTACGTTTGGCGCAAAAAGATTGTGTTCTGGACGATCTCATCTGTTGAAATTCAGGGGCCTGGGCCAACGGAAACATCCGTACGTAACCTTCTGACGAGAAGAACCCTCCCCATACGATTTGGCACGGACGGTGTACGAATGCACCCTCGGGTTTTCCGAAGAGGAAGAAGTCGTGATAATTAAGAGCAGGGACAGTTTGAAGACATGGGCCAAACGAGCTGTGGCTCTTGGACTGGCTCAGGGATCCTAGCAGTCGAT